GATGGGGGGGGTGATGGGGGTGAGGGGGGTGATGGGGTGAGGGGGTGATGGGGTGAGGGGGTGAGGGGGATGATGTGGGGTGAGGGGGTGAGGGAGGATGGGGTGATGGGGGTGAGGGGTGAGGGGTGATGGGGGAGGGGGGTGATGGGGTGAGGGGGGTGATGAGGGGGATGATGGGGTGAGGGGGTGAGGGAGTGATGGAGGATGGGGGTGAGGGGGGGTGAGGGGGGGTGATGGGGTGAGGGGGGTGATGGGGTGAGGGGGTGATGGGGGGTGAGGGGGGTGATGGTGAGGGGGGTGAGGGGGTGATGGGGTGATGGGGTGAGAGGGTGAGGGGTGATGGGGTGATGTGGGGGGTGATGGGGGTGAGGGGGGTGATGGGGGTGAGGGGGTGATGGGGTGAGGGGGATGGGGTGATGGGGGAGGGGGGGTGATGGGGTGATGGGGTGAGGGGGGGTTGATGGGGGTGAGGGGGTGAGGGGGGTGAGGGGGGTGAGGGGGGTGAGGGGGGGGTGATGGGGTGAGGGGGTGATGGGGTGAGGGGGGTGATGGGGGTGAGGTGAGGGGGTGAGGTGAGGGGGGTGATGTGAGGGGGGGTGAGGGGGTGAGGTGAGGGGGGGTGATGGGGTGAGGGGGGTGATGGGGTGAGGGGGATGAGGGGTGAAGGGGTGAGGAGGGTAAGGGGGGTGATGGGGTGAGGGGTGATGGGGTGAGGGGTGATGGGGGTGAGGGGGGTGATGGGGTGAGGGGGTGAGGGGGGAGATGGGGGTGAGGGGGTGATGGGGTGAGGGGGGATGATGGAGGGATGATGGGAGGGGTGAGGGGGATGATGGGTGAGGGGGATGAGGGGTGAGGGGGGTGAGGGGGGGGATGATGGGGTGAGGGGGGTGAGGGGGGGTGATGGGGTGAGGGGGGGTGATGGGGTGAGGGGGATGATGGTGAGGGGGATGATGGGGTGAGGGGATGATGGGGAGGGGTGAGGGGGATGATGGGGTGATGGGGGTGATGGATGATGGGGTGATGGGGGATGGGGTGAGGGTATGATGGGGTGAGGGGGTGAGGGGGATGATGGGGTGAGGGGGATGATGGGGTGAGGGGTGAGGGGATGTGGGGGTGAGGGGATGATGGGTGAGGGGGTGATGGGTGAGGGGGTGATGGGGGGGTGATGGGGTGAGGGGGTGATGGGGTGATGGGGGTGATGGGGGGACACTTGTAGCCGCAGGTAAAAGCATCACACCCTGGCCACTCTATTAACTAAATTAGCCCAGTGGAAAGATAAGGCTCAAGGTGGTACTAAGTGTTTAACTTTCAGGAGCCTCCCTCACTCACTCCCTCACTCACTCTCTCCCTCCCTCACTCTCTCCCTCCCTCACAAGCTGGGGGTGTCTAATCTCCATGTGAAATAAGCTGGGGTGTTTAATCTTCAGGTGATCCTATTTAAATACCAGTATCACACCTACTTAAAAAGTCCCAGAACTATAGTATGACGCAGCATACCTTGTGGTGTCGTAAGGTGGCAGGTGTTGGTACTGTGTGTGTGTGTGTGTGTGTGTGTGCGGACAATACTCTCCAAAGGTCGCTTGTCTAGGCCAGCTAACCCAATATCCGTTTTCACTACAGTTCATACAGTAACTTTTCCCTAAGTGAAGGTTTAACTAACATACTAAGAACTACCACGTAACATCCAAGGTCTCTCTCTCTCTCTCCCTTCTCCTCCCTTGTATCTCTCTTTACCCTCCACACTATCTCTCTCTCTCTCCTACCCCCCTCTCTCTCTCCCTCTTCCTTTCTCTCCACTACCCCTCTCCCCACACTAAATAAGCATGAGACTCAAGCTACAGAGACGTGTGCTACAGTCCTAGGAGGGGACACTGTAGGCTAAGAGGGTGACCTGTACACCACCTTAAGTTGACACATCCCCTACCACACCACCACAAGCTCTTCATGGTCACAACAGCTGTTCTAGCCAAAACGGATTACACAACACAACACCCCCCTTATGTAACATCTGTCCTTATCACAACCACACCTGTCCTCATCACAAACACACCTGACCTCTATACAACCCTCCCACTTGTAACCAATGAACCGACGTGATCTATTGACCTTATCACACTGACCCCTCTCCCCCCCCCACACACACACACAATGGCACCCCACACTACAGATTACCACATACCCTACAGTGCCACCTCTATATAACCTGGCACTGTGACCTCATGAACATCCAATTAACGCGTCCAAGACAGGGAGAGACGAGTGTGGGAGGTGGTCAATTAAAAACTCGATTCTTAGTGTGATTGAAAATAAGACAAAATTCTCCTCAGGGCATTGGCAGGTACTGTTGACTCATGGTGGTGGTTACTGGAGTCAAGGTGAGCTTAATATGACATGATTCAGCTAGGTGAGGTTAGGTTAAGCAGAGTTAAGTGAATGCCGCTTGATCCGACTCCTGTCACCACTTAGCCGAGGAGTAAAGTCACCTAGGTGTTATCATATTAACCCTCTAATTACGATAACAACCCCTCGAGTACGATAACAACCCTCAATTACGATGACAACCCCTCAATTACGATGACAACCCCTCAATTACGATAACAACCAGTCAAGTACGATAACAATCCGTCAATTCCGATAACAACCCCTCAAGTACGATAACCCCTCAATTACTATAACAACCCCTCAACTACGATAACAACCCCTCAATTACAACAACCCATCAAGTACGATAACCCATCAAGTACGATAACAACCCCTCAAGTACGACTATTTAACCCCTTGCAAGATGATAACTTAGCTCTATCGTGAAGTGAATTAAACTAATCAACAAAATTCTCTACAGACTCTTCAGTTAAATTCTCCTCATAATTATCCATCTGGCAGACTTTCCAGAAGCATATGAATGTGAAAGGAGTTTGTAATTCCGTGTGTGTGTGTGTGTGTGTGTGTGTGTGTGTGTGTCAGACCTGTTTTATAAGTGCAGTGGGTCAGCCGATGTGTTGGTGTAGTGGTGTGGTGTGCAGTGGTGTGGTGGTGGTGTGCTGTGGTGGTGTGTTGGTGTATAATGGTGTGGTGTGGAGGTGTTATGGTGTTGGTATGTTGGTATGATGGCTTGAGTATTTAAAACACCTAACCACAAGCCAAATAAACAACAATAACCACCCCCTAAGGAAACCCATTTTCTGACAACTTTGCTCCCAACAAGAACAGAGCAGTATCCCCTTTCATCAATATACGTTTTCTCTATCCTCACCAATTCCCAGGGCGCAGGGCAGACTTCGGCAATGTGAAAAAAACATACTCACTATTCACCTCTTATAATTATAAAAACCAAACTATTTACTTATTTATCTTAACCAATACAAACCTTCACATCATTAAGAGTAATATTCCATCAGATATATTAAAAATACTATTGAAGCTAATGGAGTAAATTCAATAGTGGCAAAAAGAAATCGAAAATCCGTCCTTTATTTCAACATCAAACGGTAGCGTCGGCATTCGCGTATTATTGAAAAAAAAAATAAATAAATAATAAATCCCAGAATAAAAACGCTTTCAAATGTTTTTTTTTTAAGTATCAAATATTATGTATAAAAAAAATTGGTTATAATGAGCGTTTGGCGTCGTAATTTATTTCGTTTGGATTGTGAAGACTTTTTAAACGCGGAATAAGGGCCCGGTCAATATGGTATAGTGACGTCACAGAACACAAAGGCGTAACACAATAACACACAACGTTCCATAAAGCCATAACCCACACAATACAACACCACAGACACCATAGCACAATACCGTAACATATAACAACACCAGTGCACCATAATTTAACAATATTACACACATCACAGTGCACCATAGTTTAGCACACCATAATGCACAATAAGTGGTGGTAGTGGCGGTGGTGTGTACGTGGTTGTAGTGTGTACAGCCCTTGGTGGTAGTGTGTACGTGGCGGTGGTGTGTGTGTAGGTGATGTGGTGGTAGGTACAGGTGGTGTGTCGGTGGTGTGTACAGGGCAAGGGAAAGGAAGGACACAGCTTAAGCGACCACTGCAATGAATGAGAGAGAGAGAGAGAGAGTGAGCCATCAGTGGTCAAGGCAGCAGAACACTTCATGGTCCAGGTACAGCCACTCTCACCAGGAGGGAGGGAAGAACGAAGAAACGAAAGACGAAGGAGCGGAGGGAAGCGTAGGACAAAAAAAGGAGAAAAAGGAGACATGATTGAAGGAAGAGAAGGAGAAACAAGGAATCAAAAGGCACGAGATAAAAAAAATAATAATAATGCCATATTTCTATTCTGATACAAGAGGAGCAGGAAGTGACGCAATAAACAGCCATAAGAAGCTTTAACTTAGGTGACACACACACACACACACACACACACACACACACACACCTCTTCAACAGCTCCAATGTTGAAATGAATCACATCAACACTGCTGCTCTGGTCAACATTGCATCAACTAAGCCTGTCAGCACATACTAGCTTGCAACATGACACACATACTCGGGAGTGAGGGAAGAGAGACATAATATTTACATTAATTTACATATAAACACTTCACGTTGAGGGACATTACCAAACACCTCAGTCAGGGAGAGCAATGTTGGGTCACCTGCAGTCATCCACTGTCCTTACCTGTGAGTCGGCCAACAGGTGTCTAGCATTTAACACACACACACACACACACACACACACACACACACACACACACACACACACACACTGAGGACAAGCGTGTAGCATCACCAGAGGGCTTTAGTTACAGTAAGATCAAAGGTATATTTAATTTTTGTTTCATTTTTTTTTAAGGTAATGTTGGGTCTGGAGTCATGGCCAAGCAGACACATGGCACCTCTGACTGGCGTTACGAGTCACAAAATACAGACACTGGGTATTAAAGTGTCCACCATCAACTGTCATTAATATAAACAATAAAATGAAATCGTTCAGGGATTAAGAAGTTGAAAGAAAAACATCCATCCTTTTCCTTACCTCGTCTTTATCTTCGTCTTTGCTCTCCTCCCTCTCTTTCTCTTTCTGCTTCCCCTCCGATAACGACCTGGTGATGGAGCCGCTTACCAACTTCCCAACAGTCTGAGGTGAAAAATTGCCGGAGTCTTCATCCATCTGACTATCAGGAGTATCGTCAATGAACTGCAGGGATCGACGATAGTTCCGACTCCTCTTGAACTCCAGGCGCTTGATGGTGGCGCGAGCTTCCAGAGTATCGTTACCCCTGCGAAGAATGATCTGTGAGTCGTCGTTTTCTCTGACGTCCTCCTCATTGTTACCGTTTTCTTCTTCTATACCGGGTACATTCTTCATCACCAGGGTCTCCATCCCTTGACGGAAGCTCTCGTAACTGAATTTCACCGCTTTGTCATGGGTAGGGTTTTCTGGGAGTCTCTTTCCATGGTTATCAGTCACCTGCTCTATTCCCTCTTCCTGTAGTAGGTGAGACCGCTGTACATCGTCGTAGTCAGACATAACGTAAAGAAAACCAACAAGACTCCCTAATTCTAACCCGTATATCAAAAACCACTTTCTTGACACAGGTTTCAGCCAATGTTATCGTGTGTGAGTGAGGACGTTTTCTCACTCAAGGGGAAATATCTTACTGTCTCACTCTTGTATAAATAGGACGTCATAAACAAATATATTTTCACGCTCAAACTCAATTTCAATAAAATCCAAAAACAAATAAAAAAATATCGTTCTGAAATAAATGAAACAGGAACTTAATATAAAATAACAAGACCAACAACAAAAAACAACAACATACAGAATACTAACAATTAAAATATTCATCAAAACCTAACAACCATAACAAATTTAAAAAAAAACAACAATATATTAACTAGATACTAGACCAAAAAATAATGATTAACTAAGAACAAATAACAAATAAATAAAGACAAATTATAAAAACAAATGGATAAAACACTTGATATTTTATTTTTGTCTCGTCATTATTTTTTTATTCTTAATTTGTGGCTTTGCATGATTCTCTCTCTCTCTCTCTCGCAGCACGTTGACCACTACACCATCACAAACACTCACCAACACACTCGCCATTCGCCAACATCCCCACAACACACCAATACCCCTACACCCGACAAACACTCACCAACACACTCGCCAACATCCCCACAACACACCAATACCCCTACACCCCACAAACACTCACCAACACACTCGTCAACATCCCACAACACACCAATACCCTACACCATCACAAACACTCACCAACACACCTGTCAACATCCCCACAACACACCAATACCCTACACCATCACAAACACTCACCAACACACTCGTCAACATCCCCAAACACACCAACACCCCTACACCATCACAAACACTCACCAACACACCTGTCAACATCCCCAACACACCATCCCCACCCCACAAACACTCACCAACAACTCGTCAACATCCCCACAACACACCAATACCCCTCCCCCAAACACTCACCAACACACTCGTCAACCCCACAACACACCACTCCTCACCCCACAAACACTCACCAACACACTCTCAACATCCCAAACACACCACACCCCTACACCCCACAAACACTCACCAACACACTCGCCAACACCCACAACACACCAATACCCCTACACCACAAACACTCACCAACACACCAATACCCCTACACCACCACAAACACTCACCAACACACTCGCCAACATCCCCAAACACACCAATACCCCTACACCCCACAAACACTCACCAACACCTTCAACATCCCCACAACACACCAATACCCCTACACCATCACAAACACTCACCAACACACTCGCAACATCCCCACAACACACCAATACCCCTACACACCACAAACACTCACCAACACACTCGCCAACATCCCCACAACACACCACACCCCACACCCCACAAACACTCACCAACACACTCACCAACATCCCACAACACACCAATACCCCTACACCACAAACACTCACCAACACACCTACCAACATCCCCACAACACACCAATACCCCTACACCCCACAAACACTCACCAACAAACTCGCCAACATCTCCACAACACACCAATACCCCTACACCCCCACAAACATTCACCACACACAATACCCCTACACCCCACAAACACTCACCAACAAACTTCTAATGATAGTCTAATAATACTGTAATTAATAAGTCACAAGGATGCAAAGTTAAGACTAGGGTGAGGAGGTGGACATATTAACCTAACACACAGTATAGATTAACCTAACATTGTATTGTCTTCATTAACATAGAAAGATGAACCGATGTTAAAATATGTAATTAACGAGATAAACAATTCAATTTAACATAAACAAGATGGTTAAAAGTTGGAATTTAACGTAGACAATCAACTAGGATGCTAAAATAACGCCGAGTTGAAAAGGTATTAGTTTTATATTAACAGTAGCAGGTCGAAAGGTAATGTGAGAACTGTTAAGGTAAAATAATTATGGTGGTAACTCTCCACACACACACACACACGCACACACACACACACACACACACACACACTGACCAGCTATTCAAGGACACCACCCCACCAGACGCTACTCAGCAAGAGATAAGTCCCTGCAACCTTCAAAAGTGTCTAAACTCAGCAGAACTGTAAGGACTATTTACGAATCTTAACTCCTAATCATCCTGGTACAAAAAGGAGATCTTAACTCAGCATTATGCACCCGAGAGTCATGCAAATTCACGTAATTGCGGTAGGAGGGTTCAGTTGGATAAGGCATTGCTTCTAACACGACTTTTACACGCGTCCGATACCCAACTTGGAAGGCCACTTGCTTCAACCACAATCTTCCCTACTTAATGGTAAATTATCTCAACAAATATGTATATAGCTAATTACTAATAATAACATCCTCGCAATAAACACTAATTAAGTTTACATACCAATTCCAAAATTTAAATTAACTCATCTCAGTCATCAATCATATGTCGAAAAACTTGTTAGTATAAAAATATTCATTGTGGTGATGATGAAGCGGACACACACACACACACACACACAAACCATCAACAGCAGCAGCACACGTGTTTCACCGAGCACAGACCCCCCCCCCTCCCAGCCTTCACTTCCGGGTACACACACACACATTCAGACTCTGGGTCGTCCTCACTAACTATTCACAAGGACAGTCAGTGTGTCTTCCTAAACTATTCAGGACGTTTTGGTCTAGCCAGCAGGCGAGTCTCTCCTCACCTGCTTTCAACACCCTCCAGCAACATCCACGCGTATGAGGGTATAAACACGCGCTGATTGGCCCTTACCCATCGTAATTTGTTTGTGGACGTACCCGTGTCAGAGTGGAATTCTGAAATTGTGTTCCGATCGGCTAGCTCTCCAGAACCAAATACCTACAGTATATATTGTGTGATGGCCGCCACCCTACATTAACATAAGTAGACACGCGTGGACAAAGGGCACACAGGATCAGGTTTTTGTAGTGATGGACAACTTGTGAGGGAAACAACTTCTGCGTCACGTTCATAAGTTGTACGTAAGAAATCAATGACAATCTTACGAGAAAAAAAGGAAGGAAGGAAGGAAGGAAGGAAGGAAGAAGGAAGGAAGGAAGGAAGGAAGGAAGGAAGGAAGAGGTATTATAGCATGTTTGGGTCCAGACCACCTTCAGTTCATTCAGCTGTGAATGGATATACCTAACTTTACCATTGAGAAGTGAAGGACCTCGAGGGTAGTGTCTCTTAATGCAGTATTCGACCACTGGCACCTACCATAAGAGAGGACACGGGTTGTTTGTGTTAGTTGGTGTTGAAGAGGGAGTGCAGGAGCTTCAGGTGAATATTCTAATGTGAATATATTAACAATTATTTTATATCGTCGAATAAATACACATATACGACTCTTTATTTACAATAGAACCACTTTAGGAAAATATACGCTAAATGGGTCGTCAAAACTAGCCAAAGAAATAATGGTTTTAACACTATTCATGTTGTAAATATCAATAGTAATAACCGGTGTTTTAAGCTGACTAGTTGACTGTCTCTTGTTCTAAAGGGCCCCAGCGTCACCGAACCATTTGAACTGGGGCCCAATAGAACGGGGAACCACTCAGGCTGGGGCCCCAATAGAACGGGAACCCACTAGACTTGGTCCCAACTATAACTGGGGCCCAATAGAACAGCAAACCTGACTGACCCTGGGCCCCACTAAGACTGAGGCCCAGTTCATGTATTACATCTTGATGTAATAAAATCCCAGTGACTAAGAGAGCGAGTGGTCCTACATCACACGGCGACTCACAACCCCTACAAACACTGACTCACAACCCCTACAAGATGACTCAACCCAACAATACGACTCACAACCTTATAAAACGACTCACAACCCCCACAACACCTAACCCACAACCCCACAAATAAACCTCACAAAAAATTACTAACCCTACATCCTCAAAGGAATGTCTGTCATCCTTTCACCCAACCTCAAGAAGCGCAAATTCCTCTGGACTCACGAGACCAAAGCTACGACACACAGATAGCGGCAGAAAGAGACGTCGAAATTGCAATAAAACTTGACGTGGTGGAAGAAATTGAAGAAGGAATATATATTAGGTGGAGGGGAAGGGGGAGAGTACGGGGTGGGAAAGGGAGATGGGGTGGGGAAGTGGAGAGAGGGGTGGGAAAGGGAGAGGGGTGGGAAAGGAGGAGGGGAAGGAGAGGTTGGGGAGGAAGGAGTGTTCTGGTCATTCTTGACTCCATTTCCATAATAAGAAGTCGACCCGAGATAACTTTAGCCAAGGTTGTCCACATAATGGGTGTACACACACACCTGCCACACCCCCACACACACACACACATGCACAGACCAGATGACATGTGTTTTTTTTTTCACAAACATTATGACTTATGGAGTTTACAAAAACACACAGCAGTGTGGTAAAGTTAAACAAAAACGGGCCACCTGAAGACATGCACCCCAGCTTATATCACCTAAAGATTGGACACTCTTGCTTATATCACTTGAAGATTAGACACCCAGCTACATCACCTGAAGAGTCACACCCCAGCTTATATCACCTGAAGTTATTAATACCCAGCTTATATCACTCTGAAGAGTAGACACCCCAGCTTATATCACCTGAAGAATACACACCCCAGCTTTCTATCACTCTTGTAAGAGTACTCCTATTGGTTGCTTAACTAACAAACTAACTTCACTAAACTAACCTAACTTACTTAACCTACCCTAGCCAAACCAAACCAAATTTTAACTTGTCTTAACCTAACTTTTTAGCCTACCCTAACCTAACCTAATTTAACCTACCAACTTAACCCTAACCCTAACAATACGTCCAATCAATAAACATCTACCGAACATTCTAAACATGGAAACATTAGTCAACAAATAACACACGAGACATTAACAAACATTGTAAACACTACAGTTCTTCATTAAAACTTACGTCAACAAAATAAATATTAAAATGTTCTGTGGAATATTTTATCCATTAAAATATATTCCAAATTACTGAGGAAATGTTGAATGAAATAATTTTAAGCACACAGTGAGATTATAATCTAAAACATAAGTAGTGTGTGTAGGTGTGTCGTGTGTGTGTGTGAGTAATCGAGGTCCTTGATGGTAGGATGAAACAGCTCTTTCTCTCTTCAACATCAACTTTCCTCTCCCTCTTCTCCCCACCATCAACTTTCAGACACTCCAGGTA